TCTGGAACTTAAACGGAGTATCTCATCATGTGGAACTACAACGCGATGTCTCTGAAAAAAATAGATATATTAGTACCAAAATGTATCAAATTATTCAGTTGGAATATTATACCTTTTAGATTTTAAGGCTCCTTCAAACAATGTTAGCCCAACATCATACAAGTGTTGGAATATTCGGTGAATAACTGTTACTATTCTTTAAATCGTCAGGATTAAATCGTAAGATCTATCCAAATTGAAAATCAGCGCTTTAAAATATTTGCGAAAGAAATAGTATAAAACATTGTTTGAAAATTATTGGATGATGTTGGGCCAACAATGCAGCTTGGGTCCCTTTCAACCGGCCTTTAATAACATTAAGTAGACGTACTTAATTTCTCGCAATGAAATTAAGATATGTCTTATCATTGATACATCATGAAATATATTAGGTACGCCAACGTACATGTATCTGCGCCAAATGTTCACACTAAGTCAGTAATTGTAGCCTTTCAGTCGCGCTGTTTTTGTCATTGTTGAATGTTGTGGTTATTGTAGACTAAATATAGATAGAGGTTATTGTAGACTATCTAAATTGTTTATCGAAATTGTGTATAAATAATTGTATCTGTTAATCTTTGCATTATTAAATATACTCTTGTTTTGAATTTTTTCATCATTTATTGCATCGTTGTCAATGAATTTTTTTATTTTGCTGTTTCACGTGGGATGAAGTTATACCCACAGAAATGTAAGGAAATGGTTGTATCATTCCTTAAATATGACTTGCAGTCTATAGATTCGATATATATTTCTGGAACGCCGGTTGAAAGAGTTTGTTTTTACAAGTTATTAGGCGTTAATATATCTCGCAAGATCTTGCTTGGAACAGACACGTGGATTAGGCTATATTCACAAAAATGTCAATTCCCGTCTTTATGCTTTGAGTCTTTGAGACAATTAAAGAAAGCTGGTTTCTCAACATGATCTTCTTAAAATTTATTGCTCTTTGGTTAAGTTTTGTATTGAATATGCATCACCTGTGTGGTTGGACGTATCCCAAAATTTAACAAATTTAATCGAGTCTGTTCAAAAACGAGCGTTACGGATTATTTTCCCTCTCTTGCTTACGAATATTGCAGTCTCGACTTAATATTTTGCCATATTGGGCTGAGAAGAATCCAATAAGATACAATATATAGTTCGGGAATATATATAGAGTCTTTATTAGCTTGAACAGCCTCCAAAAGACGACAAAGAATAGCAGCGCATTCGCATTTATAGGTGCCTGTGAAACGATCGAAATGTAGAAGTACCCACAGACCTGACCAAGTACACAAATAAAAACGCGCAAGTTATTGCAGATCTGCATGCAATCAAGTACTAACAAGGTTGTTTGTTGTCAAGATGTGTTCGCACTGCTTGTTCCCCAATTGTTGACAAGTCTGGAACAAGTTGTTATCACCTTGTTACAAGATTGATGGCGGTAACAGGCTTGTTAGTTGTTACAAGTTGTTCCAACAAGACTAATACAAGGTATTCGTAACAAGTTGCTACGAGCTTGTTGTCATCAATTGGGTAACAACTTGTTACGTGTATATATAGACAATATCAGACTTGTACTGGAACAACTTGTTGCAAGTCTGTTAGCCTCATCAACCTTGCTACAAGACGATAACAACTTGTTCCAGACTTAATAACCAGCTGGGAACTTGTGGACGAACTGTAAGATTTTTACACGTGTATAATTACACAGGTTTTACTCACCGTCGATACTAATTTATTATTGGTCCAACGCTGTAACAAGTCTCCAATATTTACCAAGATTGTTCCTTCAATTGGACGCGCAGGCACAAATCCTTCTTTTTGGCTGAGAACCTGGAATTAACAAATTTAAAATGTTTACCATGCATCCTTGTCAGCTTCGATTAAGTTTACTATTTTACTTGAATACACTCTAAACACGTAATATAATCTGTAATTCTTGACGTTAACTCATATATATGTATAAGACAAAACGCATCTCCACTCTAAAAACACCCTGGTTAACCTAGTATTAACCCTATTTGGATTAACTCAATATTCTTGTTAAATTTCCTGGTTAGTTTTTTTAGGGCCCTGATTATTTATCCAACTGGTTAAGAGGCGCTCATGCCTTTATTTTTCATATATACAATTGGTTTTTAGAAGAATGAAAGCAATTTACATTCATTCTGAGGCATGGCAACTTTAGCAAACTCGGATCGGATTGGATTCGGATCAGACAATTTCGGATCGGATTTGGATTTGAAAAATTACCAATTGTCGGATTGTAAACCTCCAATCCGATCCGATGCGCGCATCTATTTTGAGCCCTATTCTCAAGCGGCACAATACTTTGAAGCTTATTTTCTCATTTCTAGGGCTTGTCTGAATTTGTTTTTCAAAACCTAACATTTACAGGGCCTCATTTAACATATAGACTGGGGGGACATGTCGCCTCCAGTCGGCAATTTTGGCCCCTTACTGCCCCCTCCAGTGCAAGGTCTCTAAGAACTACCTGCAGTAGGTGGTCAACCAGCAGTAGCTGGTCAACCGGCCGACTCACGAATAAGATCAAGTGAAAGTGCATGACAGAAAAAATTAGAGCAGTTTACAGTTGTTTTTGCAAACCGGGCACCGTGTGAATTTTGCCATTTCACCCATTTGTCATGCTTCAATTGCCAAATCAAAAGAACGAATCCGTGATCCAGCCCGCTTTCGGGTTCTGAAAGGCCAGATTCTCAGGCAAATAATCCCATTATTTAACTGCCCCACACTCACCCCACCCTCAAATGCAGTGGCGTGCTGGGTACTATTTTTCTGGGGGGGGCCAGTTGGCTGTCAACCAATCTGCGCCCCTATAATTTTACGCTTGATAAACGAGGGCCGAAGGCGCGAGCCGAGCGCCGCAGGTGCGAGGTTTGTCTAGGGGGGTCCGGGGGCATGCCCCCCAGGAAAATTTTTGAATTTAGAGTCTTTGAAATGCCATTTCCTGGACTTTGGGGGAAGATTTGACAGAAATCTGATGGTCAGGAAACGGCATTATAACGTATCGAAATTTGCAATTCGGTTAGAATTTAGTAGTAGTACTTAAATTGGGCAATGCTAACTACTTCCAGCTGTTAATCTAACCCCAATTCTATTCTCTACTGATCTACAGATCTAGTGATCTCTTTTATATAAGAACACACGGACCCCACGCATATGCATTTTAAGATTTCCTTGCCTGGCTGCCAAAAGGGCGCGTTTCAGCATTATTTCATTACTTACATTACTCATGATGTTTCTTGCGCAAACAACTAAATTGCGTACACAAATTTACATTATCATAACTTCAATTATCTAATTTGCGTTGCTCTCGTGGTTCGTGAAGCATAATAAAGGGCGTATTAAATATAAGGGCATAATGCCAAAAAAAAGGGCATAATTCCCGTGATCCCTTCGAAACCTGACCAATATTCCGGTAATGAGGCATTGCGTGTGATCACTGATCATGTTTCTGTATGAACGATTTCGTGTGAGCCGTCAGGTAGCAAATTAGCAAATACGGTTAGACAAAATAGTCTATAATTTAATATATCACTTTGTCGCCTATATTCTTAGTCTGTTTATAAGCCTATAAACACATCTATTCAGTTTCTTGGCGGAAGTAACTATATTTTTTCGAATTTCGCGTTTGTTTTCCACCCACTTTCAAAATTCAGGGCGGGATCGCCCCCCAAGAATTGCCAGCTGGGGGGGCCGTGGCCCCCGCCCCCCCCCCTGCCAGCACGCCACTGCTCAAATGACCACAGATATTGCTTCGCAAAGTCCGTGAGTCAAAAATGATGTTAAGTTGTTAACATTTCTGAATTTGACCATCATCTGCAGGCCCGTAACTATAGTTATTATACACTCACGCGCACTTAACCAATCAGTAACCGTTGAGAGGGTCACGTGCCGATCCAATATTTTACTATATTGGACAGGAATCTATTGGACAGTTGTGAATTGTGGCTTTTTTCATGGTTTTCAACCCTTTTCAGATGTTTTGTCAATTTCAAACATACGACAAACGATATGGCAGAATAATGAAAAGAATTTGGGAAATTAATACAGTTTTTTCTACCAGTTTTGTTTAAAATTATAAAAGCGCGGGAAAACTTGTCTTCGCGAAATTTATTTGTTTGAAATTTATTTTTTTCGTTAAAATTAGGTCAAATTTCCTTTAAACATACATGGAAATGAGTTTATTTATGCACACATATTTGTAAAAACAGGTTTATTAACTTTTTTTTAGTTATTTAAGCAACTTCGCCGCCGATATTCGTATGTAGTAATGTTGTCGCTGTATTAGTCTCGTTGTATTTATTTTATCGCTTATTGACAATTTTTGTTATACAATTGTTTTGTTCGATATAATAAAACTCCTATTGGATTCATCTTCGCCCAATATGGCAAAATATTAAGTCTCGACTTCAATATTAGGCTCGACCTTCGGTCTCGCCCAATATTGAAGTCTCGACTTAATATTTTGCCATATTGGGCTCAAAAGAATCCAATAAGATATACTATGAGTCAACCGAGTCAGTTGACTCGTTAGGCCAGAATTTGGGGACTGAAATTTAAACATCGCCAGAAACCTAAACCATGGCTGAAATAATTTGCTCGTGGTTTAGTTTTTACAAGCAAAGATACTCCAAAGAGACCAACCTATCTTGCTCTTCAGTGACACTGAGAAGACGAATACGTCGATCTCAAGTACCCCAACACATGTATTACAGTACTGTAGAATTTGAAGTGTGGTGAATGATAATACTATACCACGCACATTCTCATTACCGCATCATCACATCATGTTGCCTTATTGGGACTGGATTACATTTGGGAGATTGTAAAATTGCAATAATTGTGTCACTGTTTATAAGGTTAATTTCTTGCTGGAACACTCCTCAAAATGCTAGAAATAGCTTATCTGAACTTCAGGAAATCTAACATTTTCTGGAGGGAAGACCCAGACCCCCTCTAGACGGCTCGCACCTTCGGTGCTCGACTCGGTTGTCTCAGAATCCTAGTTACGGGCCTGATCTGCTTCCCTGTGACGTATACTTATTAGTTAAATCATGCATATATATGCTGGTAGCTGCAGTGATACCGACTTGCCGACTGGAACTTCTCCAGGTCCCCCGCGAAATATATCCCCCCCCCCCAGTTACACATCCTTAAAAGAGGCCCTGCCTAACAAGCTATTGACCTGAAATTATTACTAAGTATTAAAGATTCTATTACAGCAGTTGTGCAACGAACTAGCTAGGATATTTGAGTTTAGTACAACCGGTAATGAGTTACCGATATTTCGCTCAGTCAATGTAGGGCCTTTTTCTTTACCATTATACTACATAATTATGAAGGGATGACCATATCTAGTTGATTTTAGTTTCTTGTATAGCTCATGGTTTAACATCTTGAAAGTTTCAGACTCTCACTCAATATAGGGGGCTTGGGACCATGCTTCCCCGGGAAATTTTGGCTCGGAAATGACATTTCCTGCACTTTCTGGCAACGAATTGAAGAATTTGGACAACAAAAATGATGCAAAAATTGCTTCATTATTGTTTTTTTTTGTCAATTTGTATGACTTGGTGCGGGGGGGTGGGGGATAAAATTGCCGGCAAATTAGCGTAGTCCAACTACCTCGCAATGGAAAAAGCACACGCTTTTTAAACAAGACATGTTAATACCACTCAGTCTATTTTCAGCGAGGATTAGCCCTCCTGTGAGAACTATAACGGGTGCTGAAGCTCTCCTTAAGTTTAAATTCGCTCAAGGAATATTTCATGTTGGTAATTTTGTTCACTTTGCCTTTTAGGCAGCGACCAATGATCTTCATATTACTCTCTTATCCGACCCCCACTTTTATTTCTAGGGGGCTGTCGCCCCCAGCCCCTTACTCTGCCGCATCTGCACATATCTACTCAAATATCAAAGTGTACTATAAAAACGTAAACAGTTACAGTAAGTTTACAATTTGTAGTAAACTTCGACAATTGGTAAACAATCGTAGCCGAAAAATTCCAGTATGACCTGCAAATCCCTTGATATCATGTAAAGTTTAAAAAAGCTAGCTACATTCAAAAGCAGCTCCAAATTCAAAATGTTGACCGCTGCAGTTCACTTTCCAGGCTTTAAAACAGGGGCGCCGGAAGCAATGTGAAGCGGCGGGGGCAGCCATTTCAAAAGGGCACTTCATTTTTTTGGGCAGCAAATGACAGCAATATTTGCTAAAACTTTACTGTATGGTTACTCGATTACTTGTGGCTATTATGGGTCGGCAAACTTCGACATTAATTTGAACAATTTTATTCGTTGCACCGTGCTAAAGGTGCAAAATAAAACCAGTGAACGAACGTATATTGCTTGATTTAGCATCAATTTTACTACAACTGATTAAAAATTAAGCAAAGATTGCTTACTGAGACGCTGTAAAGTCCGATCTGCGTATGTGCACAAAGGATCGGGCACTCTTTTTACTATATACAAACAGTTTATTTACGTTTTTATTTCATTTTATGTTCTTGCAAAGCTTGATTGTTGTGTCTTGATAATTTATCATACTCTAGAGTCATCAAAATATAAATAGTTTAATATTTAACAAATAAAAAACATTTTCCGTGTTGATATACCGTTATATCAACACGAGTGGAAATTGGGAAAACGAGAAATTGTGTGAAAACACGACGCCCAAAGGGCGGAGTGTTTTCACAAAATTTCGAGTTTTCCGAATTTCCACGAATGTTGATATAACTATATATCAATACGGAAAAAATGTTTTATATTTGTTTTATAATATAGCACAAAGGAACATAAAGAAATAAATTTTCCAACGTTTCCGTGTTGACATTGAGTTATATCAACACGGCTCTTAGCCAATCAGCGTTCAGAATTGCAAATGGCATATTATAAAAATATAATTGGATACCGAAATGTAAACAAAGCCTTTGTTTACATACGGACTGTACCACATCTTTAAACATTGCTTAAAATTAAGTTCTAAATTCTAATTTCTGTGAATAATGCACAAACTTTGAAGTGCAGTTATGGCAGAAAGGGCAACCTGTTGCCCCCGTGCTGCCCCCGTGCTGCCCCCGCAATGTTTGAGCAACGGGGCAGTTGCCCTCGTGGCTCCAGCGCCCCTGGTGATCAGGGTTTATAAGCCGATGTTAACACCTAGAACCGGCCACCCAGTAAAACCCGATCTTATCAAGATTTGTTTGGCATCTCACCCGATTGAATACTAGATGAAGGGTTTTGTAGATGGAAATTAGATAGCTTAAGATCTACGACGTCGACTTCAGCTAGGACGTCAGGACTAAGCAGAGAACTGGGATTAGGACGTCGTCCTCAATAAATAAACTTCCACGTAGACGTACATTACTTACGACGTAGACATTTAAACTATAAATATTTACATTCTTTTGAAAATGAGTTTAAAATAGACGTGTGAACCATTACCGTTTGTTATGCTTTTGTATTTACGACGGTAAAACTCTTGTTGTTAGGTTGTCGATGTTTGGTGGACGACGAGCAAATTGAGAGAGACGCATGCACACTTCAAAAACTATTACCAATTTACTTCCACTTGCCGCCCTAAATATTTGACGTCGTATACTTGAGCTATTATCGACTTATTTAACAGTCCTCTGCTTAGCCCTGACGTCCTAGCTGACGTCGACGTCGTAGATCTTAAGCTATCTATTATCGAGTGTAAATTTATACACATTTATTAGACCTAACCAGGAACAGCTGCAAAAAATTTGAACTATAGGTCCCCTAGTATCTCTAACTTGTGGTTAGAGTTCGATAACTGGACTCTGTAGCTCAGTTGGTTAGAATCCTGATCTTACCTCAAGTCCTCCGGTTTGATCTTGAACTAGCAATGTAATCGTTCCATAATCAGTATGCTGCCCCAGGCGTAGTTGACCCGCTTTTAAATCATTGTCGAAAGGATAATAAAGAAGACGTAATGAGGTCTTGTTATCGGGCGTGCCAAATGTTCCATGAGCTTTTGTGAAAAAACTCCTATCCTAAAATAAGAAATGATAAATTAATTAGACTTGGGATAACGGTTACATATGAGGAATACAGGGACGGCGGTGAATGGTGGGGGCGGGGAAACCCCCCACTCGTCAGGTAGCCGGCAAATTATTGAATCCCAGTCGACAAATTGTTTTCGTAGTCGGCAAAACATGAGGTGAGGAAAGAAGTTAAGGAACAGAAAAAGTCGATCAACAAGCACAAAATTGCTGAAAAAGAATGTACGCGGCTAGAAGGTGGCAGAAAAAACATCAATACACGCGGAAAAAACATGCACACAAGGTCACAAGCGTTGGTAAAAGACTGATTTATATTACAATTCATATACTGTATAGGGCGGTGCACAGGGGTCGTCCCAGCCAATCTAAATGTATTATTATAGTTAATATGTTTATTTGATGGTTTTACAAGCTACAGTATCTCATGGGCAAATAAACAGTAAATAGTTCAATAATTGCAGTACAAACGCTTATCTAATAGTCTCGTAAGGTAAGCGTTTTTGTCCAAATATCTGTTTATAATACACGAGCGTAGAAATGGCGCGAGGAACACAAGTAGTTATATTTTAACGGCTTTATTGAACTATTTACTGTTTATTTGTAACTTGTATACAGTGTCAAATATGAACCGCGCATATGTTGTATTTTACATAAAATTTTAGCCAATCTGAACCGTTATAAACTTTTTAATGACTGTGTTTGAATACACGCTCATTCAGTGTGATTTTGGAATGTCAATGTGGTCAAAACGGTAATAAATTGATTGAATTCTAACGTTGCACGCTTTTTTGCCATTGGAGTGATTGGACGATTTAACCCATTAAAGTGCAAGACTCTCCCCTTGAAAGTAAAATCGTCTGGCATTAGACGGAATAAAATAATATGGGGTGCATTGCATCTTAATAGGTTAACTAGGCACATTGACAGATTGTTTGCATGGTTAACCCATGCATCAAGCGCAAGACTATCCCTTGATGAGTAAAATCATCTGGCATTAGACAGAGTAAAATAATAAAGTACTGGGCGTATGTGCGCACATTGCAGCTTGACGGATTAAGATAGAGGTACTAACTGCGTAATGTAGTAATGTTACTATTTACCTTGTCCTCACCGCCAGGAACCTTGTCCTCACCGCTAGAAACCTTGTCCTCACCGCCACGAACCTTGTCCTCAACGCCAGGAACCTTTTCCTTACCACCAGGAACCTTGTGCTCACCGCCAGGAACCTTGTCCTCAACGCCAGGAACCTTGTCCTCACCGTCAGGAACCTTGTCCTCACCGCCAGGAACCTTGTGCTCACCGCCAGGAACATTGTCCTCACCGCCAGGAACCTTGTGCTCACCGCCAGGAAGCTTGTCCTCACCGCCGGGAACCTTGTCCTCACCGCCGGGAAGCTTGTCCTCACCGCCGGGAACCTTGTCCTCACCGCCGGGAACCTTGTCCTCACCGCCAGGAACCTTCTCCTCAACGCCAGGAACCTTGTCCTCACGGCCGGGAACCTTGTCCTCACCGCCGGGAATCTTGTCCTCACCGCCGGGAACCTTGTCCTCACCGCCGGGAAGCTTGTCCTCACCGCCGGGAACCTTGTCCTCACCGCCGGGAACCTTGTCCTCACCGCCAGGAACCTTCTCACCGCCAGGAACCTTGTTCTCACCGCCAGGAAGCTTGTCCTCACCGCCGGGAACCTTGTCCTCACTGTCTGAAACCTTGTGCTCACCACCAGGAACCTTGTCCCCACCACCAGGAGCCTTGTCCTCACTGCCAG